CGGTGAGGAGGAAGAGGGAGTCGAGGCGGAGCTCCTGAGCTGGTCGGGGGAGCGAGGGGTGGTCGGAGACGGTGGCTATGGCGAACGGCGGCGACGGTGGTGTTCGGCCGTGTGAGAGAGAGAGCGAGGGAGAGGAGGGAGGAACTGAGGGAGAGTGAGAGAGAGCAGGGGGGATCGGGACGGGCTGCGGGTGTCGTCCACGCGGCCAGGAGGGCGTCGGCAAGCAGGAGGTGGCCGCGCGACCGTGCGCGCGCGAGCACGCAGCAGCTTCGGGGCGAGGGGAGGAAGACGACGGAGGCCTACAGGGCTGGGCTGGGTCGGCTGCTGGCTGGGCCGGCCAGCTGGCTGGGCCGCACAGTGGCGCCAGGTAAGTTTTCCCCTTTTTCTTTCTGTTTTCTGTTTTATTTAATATATCTGCAACTTTATTGAATTAAATAAAATACCTAGGCAACTTCAAAAATCACCAAACTATTTCTGGCCCATAGTTGGATTATTTCCAACATGAAGCATTTTAGTTTGGAGATATTTAAGCATTTAAATATTTTATATTATTTTAAATGCCCAAATTCAAATATCTATGATTTAATTCAAAAACCCTAGGATGGCCTAGGAAAATGTGCACCATTTTTGGCAGAGGTTCTGAACCAAGACAAAAATGATGGGCATTTTAGAAGGGCATTTCAGGTTCATTGAAAAATTATTTTAGTAACCCTAGTTGGTTTCAGAGGGGACTGGGGGTTCTGTCATCCCCATTTCAAGTTTCTGATGAAAGAGTAAACATGATGCAACACTCTAATGCATGACTAGCTAGGGTGTGACACATTGTAAATATCAAGGCAAAATTACTATCGTAAATGTATCGTTTTCATGTGCCAAGCTTTTGATCTAGCAGGGTTTTGTATCATGGAATGACACTAGATAAACTTTGGCCCTTTGTATTTCGGCTAGCCAAAATGAGTAGAGTAAGGTTTTTCTATTGAAGTTTTGTCAAGCCCCAAACCGTTTCCTCTCCTAATCCTAGTGGGAGGCGATCTTCGGCGCACCACACTACCACTCTCCTCCTTTGGTAGGCGGCCGCCCCCCTCCTCCTCTGTTGGCCCTGCAATAATGTCGTCTTTGGTGACGCATCGTTGATAGTGGCGTTGCCGTCTGCCGACGAATAATTATTCCTTGAGATATCCCATCTCGACCGTGTTGCTACGACAATATTGATGGTTCGCGAGCATAGGTTTCTATTGTCCATTCTAGATGGTGAGGCTAGGGTCTGCAGGGTTGTCGGCGGCGGCGGCGGCTTATTTTCGTAGTTGGGTCCTCCGGCCTCATCGTTGTCACGTAGGTTTGGCCTCCGTACGCGGCGGGAGTGAGGCGTGCAAGATTATTTGGAGGTTAGTCTCTTTGATCTACAACACTTCTGATTATGACGGCTTCTTCTCCGGGGTGATGGTCCATGACCTCTATGACTTCCCGTCCACGATCAACAATGTTAGGCTAGCTCCGATGTTCGAGTGGCTTGCGCCTGTGCACCGGGTTGTTCAAGGAGAAGAAGAGAGTCGCCCCCAGGGACTTCAATTTAACTTGTTTAGTTTCTAGGGTTGTTTGTAGCGTCGGCCAAAAAGAATTTTTCTATTGATTCTTCTGTAAAAATATTGGTATTTTATTTAATTTTAGATAATTATGTTATTATGCCTGTAAAAATATTGGTATTTTATTTAATTTTAGATAATTATGTTATTATGTCAGGTTTTTATTACCTGCGTGTTGAGGGTAAAAGAGGTGCCATAATTACACAAGAAAAATCTTGGTATGTCAGATATGTGCATTTGACCTTCTCAAGAAGAATTGGTTACTTTATATCAAGACCAACCCGGACTAGAATAGCCTGTTGACATTTTTTTATAGAAGAAAACTCCGTGAGAACCAAACGCTGAAGTCGAGACTTGAACCCTGGTGGGCTAGCTGCGAACTTTCGCGCCTTGCCAACTGAGCAGTTCTCAGAATTGGTTACTTTACATCCATCCTTATACAAGAGTTGGAACTTTGCCCTCCTAAATTGGGCAATTAGGTCACTTGTTACCTTTTCTTTCTTTCTTTCTTTCTTCCTTTCTTTCTTGCTTGCTTGCTTTGCTTGTGTTACAACTTCAGAAAGGACGCGGCTAATCTGCACCCAAGCTCATATGCTCCCGCATGAACAGTAAAATCGAAAAAAATTCAAAAAATTCCAATTTTTTTTTGAGAGAAACATTGACAAAAGTTCTAAGTGCCTACAAAAATTCGTCAGGAAATCACATTCCTAGAAGGTGTGGCAAAAAAAACAAAAATAGTACTCTGAAAAAGCTACTTTCAAACGCATTTTGAAGCAATGAATTTGTTTTTTTTGGCACGCCTTATAGGAATGTGATTTCATGATGAATTTTTGCAGGCACTTAGAACTTTTGTCAATGTTTCTCTCAAAAAAAATTGGAATTTTTTGATTTTATTTTTAATTTTTTTTCGATTTTACTGTTCATGCGGGTGCATATGAGCTCGGGTGCAGAATTGACTTTTCGCTTCAGAAAGGTCTTTTGAGTTTCTGAATAACCTGAGTGGGAATCTCGCTGCCACCATCCGTTACTTGCACACTTTGCATCATCAGCTGTACACTGCAGGTCCAATTCAATTTGAGCCCCTGCGGAACTCTTCGTGCCTTTGTTTACTGAGACCAATGAATTTACCTATTTATGTAACAGTGTTAGAGTAAGAGAAAGCAACGCCAGAAGCGTCACGCTTCCTCCTCCTCACCGTCTGAGTTAACTAATCGTCTCACCACGCACATCAAAGTCCCTGTTGACGAGTGCATCAACATAAACATATACTACTACTGAAGCTACTTCTCTCTGTGCTCTCGCAGAAGGTAGCTGCCGCGTTGCAATGTCCAATGTGGTAGCATCAAGTCAGCAACCGTCCAGGCTCAAGCTCCGGTTAATCGGTGCAGAGTCAAATAAAGCGTTTGCAAACATGAAACATATCTATAGTGGTGGTAGCAATCAATCAACCAATTGTGTTGTTTCTTCACGTAAAGGACTACCATACATGTGGTCAATGTTGTAACAAAAGAATAATGGAAGTGGTGGTTGTTACAGTGTCGCGTGAACGGCTAAGCTTACAACAAAGCCTAGCAAGGCACCGACCGTGACCTGCGCCTCCGTGTGGCCGACAGACTCGCTCAGCCGGTTATACTCCTCTGTCAACTCAGTTAGCTCTGGCTCTGAGCTTTGGAGGGTGTTCGGTCTCGGCAATCTTGTCGCAGCGCCACGCGTCGAGGAAGGCATGGCGTTTGAACGCTGCGACATAGATGCGTCCTGAGGAACGGAGACGAGCTCTGTGGCCATCTCGAGGTTTGCGGGGACGGGTTCAGGGGTGGAATGCACCTGGTCGCCACCGTCCTCCTGATCTTGAGTCGTCTGCTCTCGCAGGGCCCATAGCTTGTTCAAAAGCCTTGCGTGCTTGCCCACCTCTCTTCTGACTCCCTATTGAAAACAACAAATAAACATGGCATGAGCATTAGCTACGGTGGTTTTAGTACTTCTTTACGAAAACTAACAGCAAATTTCTAATCTGAAACAACACTATCAAGCTTTGTGTATGACTTCTGCAGGCCATTAACAAAGATCAGATTTATACTGTATTTGGCATAAATGCAGTGCGGAGGATAAATAGATGGGAACATGTACTGGCCATGCACCCTGGCAACTTGGCAACAGACAGGGATACCCACTACCTCACAAAGGAAACATGGGTACTAAGTGAACTGGTCAAACTTTTTTACAGCTGCATCCCACAGCAAGCTGAGAAGAAATTAACCATGTTCAAATGCACTGACAAAGAATTCAGTGGCACTGACAACGATATATACAATTATTTAGTGGAGGCTAGATCACACATGCACTGGTTTTATATGTGCACAGATGGAAACAGAATCAGAAGCAAGGGGGAAAAATTTCAGACTGATAGCCCTGAAAGTCACGCTTCATGTAAAGGTACATGATAGTGATAGTGCTTCTGCTTCGTACTTCAGTGCAAACTGACATTTCTTTTCGTCAGAATATATCAGCTAATATCAGGGGCATCATACATCCATACTACAAAGTGCAGCTCAGCATGTTCACCCTTTTTGGAAGTATTGGGATTGCAAATATACTACAGCATAGTGTGAGGAAATTAGAGGCAGTCCACATGGCATGTCTAGCAGATTCAAGAGGGCAGAGGCAGAAAGCAAATGTATCAGACCAATGTCGTTTCTTTCTGGATTCTTTTTTTTTCATCTTAAGAGATGTGTGTGAAACATGATCGGTAAGCGTCTAACACCTTTGACCTCCCAGTTTCGTAAAAAAAGAAACTGCAACAGCAATGGGGAGATCTAGGCCAATACAGCAGAAATGAAGAGTCTGCTGGGTATTTAGAGAGTTACATCCCTGATAATGAATCATGTTCTTGTATTTGTACTGGACCTCGATCAAATCAATGTCAAACTTGAGTTCTGCAAGTTTCATGAAAAAATACAGCAGCAACGGGGAGGGGCCCCTTCTTCTCCTCCTCTGACGGGCAAAGCCCGGTTGGCGCGGCGGCGGCGGGGCCCCTTCTTCTCCTCTGCTCGGAGTGGCCGGCGCAGGACGGCGGCTCCTGGTGGCGGTGCGGGGCTGCCGCGGGGCCCTGTGGCGTGGCGGCGGGCGTGTGGTGCGGCGGCCGGAGGCGGTGCGGCGGCGTCGAGCGCCGGGCAAAACGCAGCGGCTGTGGTGCTCCATATCGGGAGGTGGCGCGCGAGCGGGGCTCTGCCCAGATCCGATCGATCTGGTGCAGGGGCTTGCTGTCGGCGGCGCCGGCGGAGGTTGACGGCGGTGGCGTGCTCCGCGGGCGCTGGTCCTTGCGGGGGCTGGTGCGGGTGTGCTCAGCGGCTGCCCGGGGGGTGCGGCTGTTCCTCCGGGCGCCCTTGGGTGGCGAGCGCGGGCCGGGTCCGGTGGCTGGCACGGGATCCGGCGTCCGGCGGCCTGAGGTGTTGTTGTGCTTCCTTCCCGCGGGCGGCGCGGGCTGAGGCGGCAAGGGCCTGCCGGCAGCGCACGGGGGCTACTGCGCTCGACGGCGGCGGCATGGTGGCGGTGGTGGTGTTGCGTGCCGGACGGATTTCGCCTTTTTCCGGTCGCCCGCGCGGGTTTGGGGCCCCGGCCCGGCGTGGCTGCGGTCCCGGCGGTGGGTGGCGGCGGGAGGTGGCTTCGCCGTGCCGGCTCCATGTAAGACAATAGGCTTTGGGGGAACCGGCACAACCCTCTAGGGGTGGCCTATCACATATATATATAATGAGGTGGTATACAATGTTACAATATGCACATGTAAATACAGTCTAACACCCTCCCTCAATCTTAGCCACTTTCTAATGAATCTAGAAGGGTAAGATTGCGCCTGCAAGTCTCAAACTGTGGCAAAGGCAATGGCTTGGTGAAGATGTCAGCAAGTTGATCCTTGGAAGAAATAAACTTGATCTGTAGTTGCTTCTGAGAGACACGTTCACGCACAAAGTGATAGTCAACTTCAATGTGTTCCGTTCGGGCATGGAATACCGGATTTGCAGAAAGGTATGTAGCACCGATGTTATCACACCAAAGAACAGGAGGCTGTGATTGGGGTATACTTAACTCCTGAAGCAAGGATTGTACCCAGATGATCTCTGATGTGGCATTGGCCACAGCCTTATACTCAGCCTCAGTACTGCTACGCGAGACAGTAGCCTGTTTCCGAGCACTCCAGGCAATCAGGTTAGAGCCAAAGAAGACAGCATAACCCCCCGTGGATCGCCTGTCATCCGGATTGCCAGCCCAGTCTGCACCAGAATATGCTGAAAGACAACCAGAGTCAGACGGCCGAATATGCAAACCATGAGCCACCGTGAAATGAATATAGCGCAAAATCCGCTTAACAACAGACCAATGAGTGTCACGGGGTGACTGCAGATACTGGCAGACTCGGTTAACAGCATAGGAAATGTCTGGTCGCGTGATCGTCAAGTACTGGAGCCCATCAACAATACTCCTGTACTCTGTCGCATCAGAAGAAGAAAGAAGCACACCATCAACAGCATTGAGCTTATCAGTGGTAGACATGGGTGTAGTCGTCGGTTTGCACTTAAGCATCCCAGCTCGCTGCAACAAATCCAGAGAGTACTTCTTCTGCATCATAACAAGGCCAGCATCACGAGAAGTAACCTCCCACCTCAGTGCTGGTGATTTCCCCTCTGCCCCGTTTGATTCCGTCTAGATCTTGCCCCGAATTGTATTGCGTCTGGATGAGCGCGCCGTTGGCGTGGCCTGGTTGTCCAAAAGGACCCTCCCACCTCAGTGCTGGTGATTTCCCCTCTGCCCCGTTTGATTCCGTCTAGATCTTGCCCCGAATTGTATAGCGTCTGGATAATGAAGCTTCCCAAGGTCCTTGACCGCAAAATCAGCACCAAGTGAGCGAACAAGCGCAGTAGCAGCCGACTGAGAGGAGCTGACCAAAATGATATCATCTACATAGACCAACAAGTACATAGTAACCTCAGGCCTTTGAAGAAGAAACAATGAGGAGTCAGCAGTTGATGATGCAAAACCATGAGCACGAAGAGCCATTGCAAGACGAGCATGCCAAGCACGAGGAGCCTGCTTCAGACCATAAATTGCCTTGGACAGACGACAGAGATGATCAGGGCGATCCGGATCAGAGAAACCCGGAGGCTGGCGCATGTAAACCTCCTCCACCAAGACACCATGAAGAAAAGCATTTTGAACATCAAGCTGACGAAGAAACCAACCTCGAGTAACAGCCAGAGAGAGAAGAAGTCTGATGGTAGTAGGCTTGACCACTGGACTGAAGGTGTCTTCATAGTCAAGTCCAAAACGCTGTCGAAAACCACGAGCAACCAGACGAGCCTTATAGCGCTCAATGGACCCATCAGAATGCCTCTTCACTTTGAAAACCCATTTGGAATCAATGACATTTACCCGTGATTGTGGAGGAACAAGAGTCCAGGTCTGATTGCGAAGAAGCGCTTGATACTCCTGCTCCATGGCCTCTCTCCAATGAGGAATGCGCATAGCAGCTTGATACGTGCGTGGCTCAGAGGATGGATCTGCGAGAGCAGCAGACATGCACGCCGCTAACCAAGCAACTGTGCCATCGTGACGTTGCTTAGGCTGAAAAATGCCACTCCGACTGCGCGTATGTGGACGTAGAGCAGCAGCAGGAGCCGGCGGAGGCGAAGGTGACGGAGACGTGACGGTCGCCGGAGATGCAGGAATCACCTCAGGCGAGCTCGGGACAGACGACTCCGGACTGCATGGCGAAGACTGGCCCGACGACAGGGGCTCAGAGGCCATGGGCGAACCGAGAGTGGGCGAGGCCAGCTCCGGTGACACCGGCCCAGACGGCCTTGGCGAGGCGAGAGCAGGCGAGGCCGGCCCTGGTGAGAAGGGCCCAGACACCCTGGGCGAGGCAGGGGCGGGCGAGGCCAGGCCTGGTGATGACTGCCCCGACGCCCTGGGCGAGACGGGGACCGAGGAGGCCGGCCCAGTCGGCGGGGTTGCAGGGCGCGACGATGGCGAAGGCAGCCCAGAAGCCAGAGGCGACCGGGCCAGGACGTCGATCGGCCGTGCATGAGCACGGAAAACCGAGGCCATGCAGGGGCGCCATGTGCTCCTCATGCACAACAGAAGGTGCCGAGGATGAAGGTGATGGCGACGAAGAGGAAGATGGCACTTCCAGAATCTCCAAACGAGCCCCACGACCAGTGCCTGCACCATGGTTAGGCAACAATAGAGGAGAATATGCAACATCATCAAATTGGACAGAAGCAACAGAGGATGAATGCATGACAGGTGGCTCGGTAGTGGACACAGGGAGTTTGGCAAAGGGAAAAACATGCTCATCAAACACAACATCCCGAGAGATGTAGACACGATTAGTGGGCACATGAAGACATTTGTATCCTTTATGAAGAGAGCTATAACCAAGAAAAACACACTTCTTGGAACGAAACTCGAGCTTACGCTTGTTATATGGACGGAGATGGGGCCAGCAAGCACACCCAAACACCTTGAGAAAGGTGTAGTCCGGTTGTTCATTAAGGAGAACTTCAATGGGAGTCTTCATATTCAAAACACGAGTGGGAGTACGATTGATGAGAAAACATGCAGTGGTGAAAGCATCACTCCAAAAACGAAACGGAACAGATGCATGCGCCAAAAGAGTCAGACCAGCTTCAACAATGTGACGATGCTTACGTTCTACTGAACCATTCTGCTGATGTGTATGTGGACATGCTAAACGGTGAGTGATCCCAAGCGACTGAAAGAAGGAGTTGAGGTTGCGATACTCGCCACCCCAGTCCGACTGAACATGAACAATTTTGTGCTTGAGAAGGCGTTCAACATGTTTTTGGAACTGAACAAAAATGTCAAACACATCAGATTTACATTTGATAAGATAAAGCCAGGTAAAGCGGCTGTAAGCATCAACAAAACTGATATAATAATTATGACCACTAACAGAAGTCTGAGCAGGACCCCATACATCTGAAAACACAAGTTCTAAAGGATGTTTCACCTCACGACTGGACTCTGAAAAAGGAAGTTGATGACTCTTCCCCTGCTGACAAGCATCACACACTGCTACATCTTTATTACTAGACACACTAGGAAGCTCATGACGACGCAAAACATGCCGGACAATAGGTGTGGCCGGGTGACCAAGACGAGCATGCCACTGTGACGGAGATACCCGAACTCCACTGAAGACGCGAGCGACGCCAGGATGCTCCAGACGATAGAGACCTTGGCAGAGCCGCCCACTAAGAAGAATGTCCCTCGTGCCCCGATCCTTAATAAAAAGATCAAAAGGATGAAATTCACAAAGCACATTATTATCACGAGTGAGTTTAGGAACTGAAAGAAGATTACGTGTCACAGATGGAACTCGAAGAACATTGCGAAGTTGAAGACTCCTATTGGCATGTCTAGTGAGAAGTGATGCTTGACCAATATGAGAGATGTGCATACCTGCTCCATTGGCGGTGTGGATCTTGTCGGAGCCATGGTAGGGTTCACGAGTGTGAAGCGTCCCCATCTCACTGGTCAGGTGCTCTGTCGCCCCAGAGTCCATGTACCAGTGGGGATCAATGGAGTAGGACTGAGTGTGTCCCTGTGGCTTCTGCGGCGGCGGACGATCAGCCATGGCGACCTGACGAGCAAAGTTGCGTGTATCTTTCCCGTCATTGCCGAGACCAAGAAAACCCCGCTGGAAGCGCTTGTGACACTTCGAGGCCCAGTGCCCATCGCGACCACAAAGCTGGCACACACGTGGACCGCTAGCCCCTGGTAGCGTCGCAGTAGGAGGAGGGGCCGAGGCGGGTGGTGGTGACTGCCCCGAAGGAGCCCTGGATGAAGCAGAGGAGCGACCACCCTTGGTGGCGGCGTTTGCCGAGAGGGCGCCGTTGCCCCTGGATCGGCGCGTCTCGACTCGTTGCTCAGTAAGCAGGAGGCGTGAAAAGACCTCGGGTGCTGGCATGGGCGTGGAGTTGCCCCTCTCATTGATGATCTCGACTAGGGCGTCATACTCCTCATCAAGACCATTGACAATAAACGAGTTGAACTCGGAGTCGGTGAGGGGCTGTCCAATGGAGGCCAGCGTGTCGGCGAGACTCTTGACTTTGTTGTAGAACTCAGTGGCGGTGGAGTCAAGCTTCTGACACTCCCCAAGTTGGCGACGGAGCCCAGATACACGAGCCTGCGACTGTGCCGCAAACGAGCGCTCAAGAATAGTCCATGCCTCGTGGGACGTCTTGGCGAAGACAACAAGCCCAGCAACGGCCGGAGAGAGCGACCCCTGGATGGAGGAGAGGTTCGCCTGATCCTGCCCTGTCCAGACACGGTGAGCCGGATTATAGACCGGACCGTGCACGCTGTCAACCAGCGCAGGAGGGCAAGGGAGAGAGTCGTCGACATAGCCAAGCAGATAGTGACTCCCAAGAAGCGGAAGAACCTGCGCGCGCCAGAAGATGTAATTGTCCGACGACAACTTGATGGTGATGAGATGGCCGAAGTGAAACGGCGGCGGCGGCTGCGATCCCATCGAGGAGACTGGCTGAGG